TCCTCCCAGTGTCCATCCCTTCATACTGTTCTGCACCCTGAGCTATCTCCCTGTGCATAAGCAGCCCTTCCTTCTCCCATGATTGTTCTCTCCAGGGCGTGTGTCTACTTGAGGTAAATGTTTAACTCACATGTATCCAGGCCTTTCTTTTGAGGTACCTCTGAGTGTATTAGAACCCCCAGCCTTCTGGATAGGAGCTGCATGTATTAACCATTTGTACCACACAGGGATTTCTAGGTGACTATACACCTGCTCGGGAGCTCTGGTAGCATAGTGGCTAAAGCACTTGACTGCTAACCAGAAGGCTGTCGGTTCAAACCCACCAGCCACTCCTTGGAAGGAAGGTTGGGCAATCCTATTTCCACAGTGATACTGCCTCGGAAACCCAAGGAGGGGTCGCTATGAGTTGGGGCCGACTCGACGGCACATAACAACAACAACAACAACATACACCTGCTCATTATAAACCCACTGCCATTGAGTCAAGGAGCTCTGGTAGCGTACTGCCTAACGCACTTGACTGCTAACCAGAAGGCTGGTAGTTCAAACTCACCAGCCACTCCTTGGAAGGAAGTTTGGGCAATCTACTTCTGTAGTGATACCACCTTGGAAACCCAAAGAGGGGTCGCTATGAGTCGGGGCTGACTCGATAGCACATAACAACACATGCCTGCTCTAAGGAGCTCTGGTGACATAGTGGGTCAGACATTTGGCTGCTAAGTAGGAGGTCAGTGATTCAAACCAGTTGCTCCGTGGGAGGAAGATGAAACAATCTACTTCCATAAAGGTTTATAGCCTTGGAAATCCAGTGGGGGTCGCTATGAGTTGGAATGGACTCGAGGCAGTGGGCTTGGAAGAAACACATGGCAATCTGCTTCTGGAAAGTTCTCAGCCATGAAAATCCTCTGGTACACAGTTCTCCTCTGCAAAACGTGGACTGGCCATGAGTTGGAATGAACTGAATGGCATTGTTTTTCATTTATTAATTATTATTATTATTATTAACATGGTGAAACGTTTATTAAATTATCTTTGTTAAAATAACTAATTATTTTCTGTTTTCTTGTTTGGATCTTGACTGATAAAACATGAAGCCAGATTTCTCTTTAGTTAAAAGGTCATTCCTACTTTGCATTTTAAAGCATTTGCTTATCTGAACTCCCTCTCAAGAACAATTACTTTGATAATCAAATGTTTCTTTGTCCCTGCCCTGCAGAATCTCATATTCTGGGCAGAGTTCATCACCATTAACTATTTGATGTATTAAAACATTTATTCCAGAAGCCAGGAGAAAAGAATTGAATTTGAAGACAACCTGCAGGCCTATGGAATATGGGACTTCCCTCCCTTAGCCTAACCAACCCACACTTTTTGATAGACTCAGGACATATGAACATGGATAAGGAATCTTACCAGGAAAATAGATATAGCCTAGTGCTGGGGAGAGGACAGAATCCATACAAAAATACTTCTTAACATGTTGTGAAGTATCTATAGCTGTAAAGTGATTTTGAATTCCATTAAGGTATCCTTTGAAAGTAGACTCCAACTCATAATGACCCTTTCTTGGGTTTCCAAGGCAGTATCTCTGTGGAAGTAGAATGCCCAGTATTCCTTCTGAGGAGTGGCTGGTGGGTTTGAACCGTTAGCCTTCTGGTCAGCAGTCAAATGCTTTAGGCACTATGCCACTAGAAGTATGAGTTCAGAATGCTGGCTCTAGGGGAAGACATTCTTTCTTTGTGTCTATTGTTCCTAGGAGGACCCCAGTGCAGGGACCCTGGATGCAAAGGACACACTCCACTCCTGGCTCCACTTTCTTGGTGATAATGGGTCCCTTTTCTCTGTTTCCTTCTCTCTCCTTTCATCGCTTGTAAAATAAAAGCTGTTGCAGGCCACACCCCAAGGAAGCTCCCATTCCATTGGATCAAGGCTGTGATTGGGATAAGGGTATTCAACCCACCCTTAATCTTAATCCTTTTACATCTGATCAATTTATCATATCAGATCACATTACATCATGGGGTATCATTACATATCTGCCACATTACATTATTATATAACTTCTAAACCACTGAGAATCAGGGCCCAGCCAAATTGACACAAATTTTGAGGGGACACAATCCATGACAGTTCCTTACTTATAAAATGAGATTATTATTAAAATAAACTCTATACACATTTTTGAGGAACTCTGGTAGCATAGTGCCTAAGGCACTTGACTGCTAACCGGAAAGCTAGTGGTTCAAACCCACCAGCCACTCCTTGGAAGGAAGGTTGGGCAGTCTACTTCCCTAGTGATAACGCCTCGGAAACCCAAGGAGGGGTCACTATGAGTCTGGTCCGATTCGACAGCACATAGCAATAGATGTTTTTGTCCAAGTAAATTCTATATTGATAACAAAAATAGTTTTATAATCATAAACTTATTTATGGACATTATGAAGTGAAAATTTCCAATAATCTTACATTTTACAGATAATGAATGCAAGTATTTTAAAGTGGGATGTATCATTATCAGAGGTAATTATATAACATAATGAGTGGAGGAAGTACTGCTTCATGAAATTAAATTTACTGCTGTTAATATCACATGCTCTTGCAACTAAGAAAAAAGGAAACCTTTAGGAAGCATTTGCAACCTTTCACACAATTTTACTAGTATGTATACATAGCGTAGTGCCTAAGGCACTGGACTGCTAGCCAGAGGGCTGGCAGTTCAAACCAACCAGCCACTCCTCGGAAGGAAGATGGGGCAATCTACTTCCGGAGTGATACTGCCTCGAAAACCCAAGGAGGGGTTGCTATGAGTTGGGTCTGGCTCGACGGCACATAACAACAACATCACCATACATTCAAATATAAAGTGTTATGATTTTAAATGATATTATTGACTAAATTGTCAAATGATTCTTAACCTGGTATCCTTGTATTAGTTCCCTATTGCTGGTGTGACAAATTACCTCAAGCTTAGTTTAAAACAAGACAAATTTACTATTGTACAGTTCAGAAGTAGATCAGAAAATCTGGATGTCAGCGGGGTTCCATTTCTTCCTGAAGGTTCTGGAGGAGAATCCATTACCTTGGCTTTCCAGTTCCTAGAATTTGACCACTTTCCTTGCCTCATTGGCCTGTGTCTCCAAATCCTTTTCAAGATGAATTTTCTCTGTTTTTCTATTCTGATTCCCTTTTCCACTTTTAAGGACCCGTCACCATGAGTTGGAATTTACTCAATGGCAACAGATTTTTCCTTTCTTCTCTTTGAGCGTCTATGATTGCATTGGGACCACTTGGATAATGCAGGATAATTTCTCTATTTTATGGCCAGTTGATTTGTAACCTCAATTCCATCTGTAATCTTAATTCCCCTTTGCCATGTAACCTAACAATTCCACAGGTTCCAGGAATTGAGTTGGACATATTCAGGGTGGTATTTTTATGTCTAATACAATAAAAGTCACAAAGTTTTTGAGAATTTGACAAAAGCTATATCCTTTCTGCTCTGGGAAGGGAAAGCCCATATAGGCACATTTTTTAATTTAATTTCAGGGAATTCATGAATGCTCCCAAATCTTATATAAGCTTTGGTTTATGTATTTAAAATTTGGACTATAGAAGTAAAAACCAACTATAACAACATAAGGTCTCACATACTTTTACTTAGTCCTTTTTAGTTTTTAAAATCTTTTTAGGTATTTCATGTTCTGTTTGTTGTGTGTTTGGTTAGAATGTTTATATATTCATTATTTGTGTTGTATGCATGCCTGTGCACATGTGCTGTTTAGAAATGAAAGGTTTGTTATTTATTCATTAAAAAATTATATATCAATATAGAATACTACTACTTTTCTTCTGACTGGATTCAAATTCTAAATGTATTTTGAATATACATGATTAGCATTTATTTTACCTGATACACCATTCATGGGTTGTTTATAACTTTATGTAGGTTTGTAGTTACATAGGGAAAAGGGCATGTTTTCAGTGCTTTTATTTACATCTATATAGGACAGGGCAGTAGTAGAGTTAGTATATGATAAGTAATTCTTAATTCATTTAAAAAGTAGATGCTTAGACAACCAGGATTACAATAAACCAATTAAAAAAAAAAACACTGTAATAAAAAACAAAACAAAACAAACAAACAAAAATGAACAATCATTAAAGGAGAGGGACAAAAATATTTTGAAGATGTTTCCTGGGCTGCCTGAATCGTGAGCCCTAACTTAGCATATTGCCTAAGGTCTAAGTTCTTATTAGATAAATGGGCCTATCATGGTGCCAGTTATGTTCAAAACTTTTTTGTATTTTCAAACAGTTTTGGTCTCATTACTAGTATTTTCAGGAGGTGTGCTGGTGTTTTAAACCAGCGGTGTACAATTGTAATGATTAAAGTGGAACTAAGAAAGCGCGTTTCCTTCTCACCATAACACCGTAATGAGTATAATGCAATTTAAGTTCTCTTCATTTCTTTTAAGGAACTTTGGTGGTGCAGTGGAGAAGGCAGTTGGCTGCAAACCAAAATGTCAGCGGTTTGAACCCACCAGCCGCTTTGCAGCAGAACGATGAGGCAGTCAGCTTCTGTAAACATTTACAACTTTGAAAGCCTATGTATGAAGACAGTTCAACTCTGTCCTATAGGGTCGCCGTGAGTAGGAATCGACTCGACAGCAGTGGATTTGACTTTTGGTTTCACTTCTTATGGAACCAACGCGTAAGGGACACCACAGTTTTAAGTGAAACTTGCAAGGGAGCCCCATGGTCTGGTCTTTTAGCTAAAGTGAGCAGTGGAGGCAAGAGACATGCTCTTAACCACTATGTTTTCTTTTCAATCACTCAACAAGCTGGGGTGGGGGGAGTGTTTGTATTTTACCAAGTATACAGAAACAGTAACACATCCAAAAATAATTTTACCCCCAAGATGAAACAAACTTAACCTGTATGGCAACTACGTAACAGATGGAAGTTGCTACAACACTTAAACTTGAAAAAGTGGATGGCTCTTAAAAGAGCCTTTGGGGTTAGCTGTGAAGAGGCTTACTTGTAAGATCACTTGGAGCTGGTGTACTTGGTGACAGCCTTGGTGCCCTCGGACACCGCGTGCTTGGCCAGCTCCCCAGGCAGCAGCAGGCGGACAGCCGTTTGGATCTCTCTGGAAGTGATAGTCGAACGCTTGTTGTAATGCGCCAGGCGAGACGCCTCGCCAGCGATGCGCTCAAAGATGTCGTTGACAAAGGAGTTCATGATGCCCATGGCCTTTGACGAGATACCAGTATCCGGGTGGACCTGCTTCAGTACTTTGTACACGTACACGGAGTAGCTCTCTTTGCGGCTGCGTTTGCGCTTCTTGCCATCCTTCTTCTGCGCCTTGGTCACCGCCTTCTTAGAGCCCTTCTTAGGAGCTGGAGCTGACTTTGCTGGCTCAGGCATGATAAATAGAGTACGCTTCTCTAACCAACGTAAACTGCTACGTGTCCTACCCCCAACGCGCATAATATTTGTAGGGCGTCTATGCAAATGTGATGATACTAAAACTTAAATTTTGATTGGAAGAATTGTGTTACGTGATAGAATCATATGCAAAGTAGGTAACTCTAGTTCTCCTTTGTAATTGGTTGTAATTTTAAAGCTTCTTTTACCCAATCAAGCAGCGTAAATTGCAATTCCACTGGCTAGTATAATAGTTACGTATTTGCTATGGGCATTCGTGGTGTTACTTTTGTCAGTTCTTCGCACGGTCGTGGTAGACACTTAAAATGTCTGGACGCGGAAAACAAGGTGGTAAGGCCCGCGCTAAAGCTAAGACTCGATCCTCCAGGGCTGGACTTCAGTTCCCTGTGGGCCGAGTGCACCGCCTCCTCCGCAAGGGGAACTACTCCGAGCGGGTAGGGGCCGGCGCTCCCGTGTACCTGGCGGCGGTGCTGGAGTACCTGACCGCGGAGATCCTGGAGCTGGCGGGCAACGCGGCCCGCGACAACAAGAAGACGCGCATCATCCCGCGCCATCTGCAGCTGGCCATCCGCAACGACGAGGAGCTCAACAAGCTGCTGGGCAAAGTGACCATCGCTCAGGGCGGCGTGCTGCCCAACATCCAGGCGGTGTTGCTTCCCAAGAAGACCGAGAGCCATCACAAGGCCAAGGGCAAGTAAATTGGAGAAGTGAACCAGAATGATAGGTCGTTTAGGAGTTAATAATTAAACCAAAGGCTCTTTTCAGAGCCACCCACATGTAAATTAAAAGGGCTTACATTTCTAAGGAGTAGAAGAACACTTGTACACTAAATGTTTTAACACTAAATGTAGCTAATACATTGACTTTGTGTTAGAAGTAATTAAAACCGATCGATGAGGAAGGTTTGGAAGTAAGGAGAAATTCCAAGTGTAAATAATGCTGGGTCAGTATTGACAATTTAGATGCAAATGCAGTTAATGACCTACAAAGTAATAACACCACAACCTTCAGTGTTATCTCGCAGAAAAGAGTTGTTTTGCATCTTCAGGTGACAACATCTTAGTTCCTCAAGTTCTGACAAGCCAACCTTCCATCCTACAAGTGGAACCCTAACATACTGTAAATAGCAGAACAACTACATTTCCTGTAGCCAGATGACAGCTATGCTACTTAATAACAGGATTCCACAGGAGTTTGAAAAGGCACACAGTAATATTTATGTACCATCTATAAATCTGAGGTGTTTTTACTTAAAACTCACACAACTTAATTGAAAATGTAACAAGATAGCTTTTTCTTTTAAGTGAAAGGTTCTAATATCAAGTGTGAAATTGTATTTGAGTTCATGATTATGATGCATTCTTTATAAAAAGGAAATGAAAAAAAAAAATCTAAAAGTTAAACTCCATGTACAGAAGCAAACCACTGAGATGCAATCAACCTTCCTGATGAGTTGAAAAACATTTGGCCAATCACCTCTTGGTGCGCGTCTTTTCAAAAAGCCGATCACAAGAAAGCCTGTTTCAGATACCAAAATACTAAATTTTACTCAGTAAACAAGGTACACCAGTCTAATAATTTACGTTAAGGTGTGCGGAGGAAAGCCAAATAACACTGTAAATAAATGGCTTCAAGACGATACAAACGAGAAAAGGGTTGGAAACTAGCATTTTAAGAGGGGCGAAGGAAGAAAAGTTTTGCCCAAATGCCTAGGAGATTCCTATGCTCAAGGGTTGAATGTCACCACTAACATTCACTCCAAGACAATGTATTACACCCTCGTCCAATCAAAGCGCGACTTTTTATATGTAACTATGTATTTAAACAGAATGTGGTCCGCTTCTTTTTGTCAACGACAAAACTGGTTTAGGAAATTTGCAATGCCTTGTAACTTAGCAGACAGCGTGCAAGTCCACTGGAGGCAAGGCGCCGCGCAAGCAGCTCGCCTCCAAGGCCTCCAGCAAGAGCGCGCCAGCAACCCGCTGCGTGAAGCCGCATCACCAGGGCTGTCAACTTGGCGCTGCGATAGATCTGGCGCCCCGATTTCGAGCTGTTGCCCGAGCTACCGTTCCAGCTGCTATTGGGCGATTTGGCACAGGAATTCAAAACAGACCTGGTCTTCCAGAGCTCAGCGTGATGGCGTTGCAAAAGGCTTGCGAGGCCTGCCGGGTGAGGCTCTTTGAGGACACCAACCTATTCACCACCCACGCCAAACGCGTTGCCATTATGCCCAATGGCATCCAATTGGCCAGCATACGCAGCGAGGGCAGAAATTGTCCTCCCAAGTAGGGGCGCCAACGTTAAATACAGGCTCTTTTAAGAGTTCGACTACTTTCTTTGAAATGTGCTGTAAATGATACTAATTTATCACCCACCTCTTGACCCGCCAGTGCCACTGCCACGGTGTTAATAGCTCTTTTTAGGTTTAATTGGGTGGCTCTTAAAAGAGCCTTTTAAGGTATCCTCAGTATCTTACTTCCTTTTTGGGGTTGCCTTCTTGGCCTTGCCTGCCTTCGGCTTGGTTGCCTTGGCCTTAGCTGGGCTCTTCGCCACCTTCTTGGGTTTGGCTGCTTTCACATTTTTCGTGCTCTTGGCCACTTTCTTGACCCCAGCAGCGGCTGCCGGCTTTTTCGCCTTCTTAGGGGTCTTCTTGGCACTCTTTTTCGGGGTTGCCGCCGCCTTCTTGGGCTTCTTTGCGCCGACCGGCTTCTTCGCCTTAGTGGCGCCAGCCTTTTTGGTCTTGGGCTTGGCTTCCCCAGAGGCTGCCTTGTTTATCTTGAAGGAGCCGGAAGCGCCGGTGCCCTTGGTCTGCACCAGAGTGCCCTTGCTCACCAGGGTTTTCAGGCCCAACTTGATGCGGCTGTTGTTCTTCTCCACGTCGTAGCCGGCGGCCGCCAGCGCCTTCTTGAGCGCGGCCAGGGACACACCGCTGCGCTCCTTGGAGGCGGCCACCGCCTTGGTGATGAGCTCGGACACCGGAGGTCCGGATGCCTTGCGCTTGGAGGCACCTACGGACTTGCGGGCCTTTTTCTTTACCGGTGTTTTCTCCGCCGGGAGAGCAGTAGCTGGCGGGGCAGGTGCGGTTTCCGACATGATTTCAGATTTTGATACCTAACAAGTCAAAAAAAAAAAAAAAAAAAAAAATCTCAGACTTGAGTTGCCAGGCGGTGAGGTGAGTGTGTATATATAGACAGCGGCGCTGCGCGCTGATTGGTTCCGAGCGCAGTCTTAGAGCTTGACAGAAACCTAAGCTCAGCTATGTTCCGGAATTGTGTTTGTTACAACTAAAGAAAGCGAAAAATTAAAAAGTACCGTGGAGGAATCACATCGATTCTGTTCCCAGATGAACCGAGACGGCCCTAGCTTTGACGTTCTTGGATTTTCTTTCTCCAGTTTCTATCACATCACCCTCAGTTCTTTTCAAAAGCCCCGGACTCTGTAAGAGATTCACAGGTCAGAGAGACAAGTTCTTGATTTTCGTTTAAAATACAAATTCTCTCCTTTGCATCTGCACGTGCTTGCCCCCTGGTAATGTTGTATACATTCTTGGCTTCTCATACGCCCAACAACTGCTTGGATCTCCTTGAGATTTACCCAGAAAATCAGTTTCCTAGGAGGAGAAGTAACACAGGCTCTTTCCGGATTTCACCAGAAGAACAGCAATAAATGAAACCTGGGATAACGGCTCTATTTGCCAACAAATACTGTTATTTTGGTCTGAAAGAGCATTATCATGACTTCTTGAACTATTTGGAGAGTTATTTAATTTGGGGGCTCAAGTATTCAGCATTTCTCTAGGCAAATCAGGCAATGCAATGATCAGTGATGCTCCTGACATGATAGTTGGGCCTGAATTGCAATAGCTGATCCCAGAGGATATCTAGGAAAAAACTTAAAAAGAGAGACACTTAGATCGCTTTATGGGTTCAAAAAAAAAAAATTTTTTTTTTTTTTTTGCTTTCATTGGTTTCACTAGAAGGTCAATTATTAAAATGTTCATGAGCTTTTGGAAACAAAGAGGTCTCATAATTAAGGAAGATAACCTGGCAGAGTATGCAAGTAACAGAATCAAGGGAATATATCCACACACATGAGACACATGAATATATCGGTATGTATATCTATATATTGATATTTAGTCCCCTTGGGAGAGAGAGATTTTAAAACAATCATGTTATATACTTACTACTATCTCTGTTAGTTGAGCAAGGTTATAGGGAACTTTATAGGGAACTCATCATAGCATATGCTTAATGTTAAGTAAGACATAGACTGATGGCAGAGAGTGATTTGATTTTATGTTCTTCACTCTTCAAGCAATGTTTGTCCTTAATGTATTAAGTGTTTATTTTGAAACCTGTATGCATCTGTGTTTCACTAGGAGTAGGAAAGAGAAAAATGCTAGGTACCAACAAAGCAAAGCCTTAAAAGTAGGGGTTTCATAATTCTTTCATTCCCTCCAAAGCAATAAATGATTGATTACTTTAGGTAGCACAGTGAAGGTGGAGATACAAAAATTAATAAATGTTAATGAAAATTAAAAGTGGAAAAACAATTCAAATGGGTGGATGAGGTGAGGATCCAGTTGGATAGAAATCATTTTTACTTTGAATGTGTATTTACTTTTTAAGGAACTTATCTTCTCCTAATTTTTTTTTAACAATAATTTTGACTCATCGTATTCTTTTTTGTAGCATCAAAAAAGGGAGAGCTGTTTCCTAACCACTTAAATGTAGGAATTTTCCAGGGAACTTCCCCATTCACCCTCAGGGTTTCATGAGTTACCTTCAGGCCTTTCTGCTTGTGTAAATGTCAAATCTGAAGTTTCACATACTTGCTGAGTAACTGCTTCTATATCTACCTCCACCATACTGGTAATAGGACCAACTTCATCTCAGTAGCTTCCAATCAGATGATAACCTTCCAAGTGACATCTCTAGAAATCCTTTTAACACCACTACTCTAATAAGCTGACGTGAAAACATCAACTCTTTTCCCTTTTGCACCATATCCAGTCTGTCATGAAGACTGGTGACTTTTTTCTAAATTCATCTGTCCTCTTTTCTTTCCCCACCATGATTACTATTCTTGCTCTTCTGTATCTTGACCGACTCTTCTCATAGCCTCACTGTGGGCCCCCTCCTTTCTTTCACCTCTCTGTGCTATAATTCATCCTCTTCATTGTTCTCAGTGACATAGTCTTTAAATGAGCTTCAAATGTTTATGGCCCATCTTCCTGTAGCTTTCTAATTCCAGAATAAGCTCTTTAGTATGTCATTTATATGGCCTTAGTCACCATTCTGAGTAAGCAATCTTTCACACTATCTTTTTCTATTTTTCCTTCCTTTTTCCCTTTCCCCTAGTCCCTTTTAAAGTCAAAGTGTACAGCAGACTAATCCAGTGATATACCTTGTAATGTTTAGATACATCATTCTCTCTCTTAAATTAGATGAGACCTCACCACCTTTTGAACTTCTTGTTATTTTAATAACTTCTCTCATTATGATTTAGTGGGAGCTCTGGTGGCATAGTGCCTAAGGCATTTGACTGCTAACCAGAAGCCACTAGCCGGTCCTCAGAAGGCAGACTGGGCAATCTACTTCCGTAGAGATACTGCCTCGGAAACCCAAGGAGGGGTTGCTATGAGTCGAATTGACTGGATGACAGTGAGTTTGTTTTTTGTTTTATATAGTCTACTTCATGCTATTCCTGTCATTGTTGTAGGTAGTTGCTGTACAGTTGGGTCTGACTCATGGTGACCCCTACAGTCTGTCTTAGTCTGAAAGCTCTGCTGAAACTTGCTTAGTATGATAGGTTACATACAAGTCTCCACTGACAGACAAGTGGTAGGTGTGTTTGAGGAGTGCAGGCTGGGAATCAAACTGGGTCTCCTGCATGGAAGGAACCACCATTGCCCTCAATCTGTATCACATTATCTGTATATTTGTCTATTTTTAAATCTTCTTAGTAATTTTACACCACCAAAAGTATGAAATTGGTCTTATAGGTATGGTTATATAAGACAACTTGCATATTATACATAGGAGCTCTGGTGGCATAGTGCCTAAGGCATTTGACTGCTGACTGGAAGGCTGGTGGTTGTCAAACCCAGCCACTCCTTTGAAGGAAGACTGGGCAATCTACTTCTGTAGAGATACCACCTTAAAAATCCAAGGAGGGGCATATCACACATAGGTTGTCCATGTGGAACCAGGACTTAAGAGTCTCCTAAGTTCCATTCCAATTCCATATTCTGACATCATTACTATTGCCCAAATGACTGTTTACTGTACCATTGTGCCCTACACAATACTGTTGACATATTTGATCTTGATGTTTCTTTTCATTTTCAGTTGAATGTGTAAAAGATCCCAGATTCAAACATGTTCTATAGAGACTCTTCTATTAAGTTTTGGACAGGACAAAGACAAAACAAAGACAGCCATCCAGGATGAGGGAAACCATCAGCATGTACATAGTACAGAAAGCCTAATGGAGTCACTGAGTCACAGCTATAGGGCTAAATATGTATGATTGAATATAAGGACCAGAAACCAAACTCACTGCTGTGGGGTCAGTTCCAACTCATAGCGACCCCTCCTTGGGTTTCCGAGGTGGTATCTCTATGGAAGTAGATTGCCCAGTCCTCCTTCTGAGGAGTGGCTGGTGGGTTTGAACTGCCAGCTTTCTGGTTAGCAGTCAAATGCCTTAGGCACTATGTTACACAAGGGAAATCATCATAAAATCATGATTGATGGCAGATAGATTTATCACCGATGTAGGCAAGAATTGGGGGGAAAGGACCATAATTGGGATATGTACATACCTGAAGATTAAAAAGGGTTGCAGGACTGGTTCTGGGGCTGGACTACCTGGCTGTGTGGTGGTTCAGATATGACTCATCACCATGCAGACTGAGTCATAGCCACATGGTGGCTACAAGACAATACAAGGACCCCAAACCTAATTTAAATTAGATAAGGATATGCCATTGGAAGGAAGGTTGGGCAATCTACTTTTGTAGTGATACCATCTTGGAAACCCAAGGAGGGGTTGCTATGAGTCAGATCCAACTCAATGGTAGTAAGTTTGGTTTGGTTTGGTTTAAGGATATACCCATGCAAGTTCCTTAATTCTTTGTGTGAGCATAATCTCCTTTCAACTACACTCTTCCCTAGAGCAAACTGCCCCTCCTTAGGTTTGTCCTAGAACTTGTCTACATGTAAACACAATGTTGGTTTGAATGTCAGAAGGAACTCAAATGATGTTTGAACTTAGGTCAAGACTCCAAATAGAGTTAGGACTCCCACTGTAGACCACAGTCTTCCACAGACTCAAGTGCTTTAGAATTTAAACTATAATATAAATGACAGCTACTTGTCCAGATGGGGACTTATTTGGTGTAGAACAATTATGAAATAAGACCTTGTTCCACTTTCTACCACTGAGCTGTAAGTGTCCCATATTATGCTCTCCTTATTGTTGTTGTTATGTGTCATTGAGTTGGACCCGACTCACAGCGACCCCTCCTTGGGTTTCCCAGGCAGTATCACTATGGAAGTAGATTGCCCCATCTTCCTTCCGAGGAGTGGCTGGTGGGTTTGAACCGCCAGCCTTCCGGTTAGCAGTCATTAGGCACTATGCATTATCAAATATAATTTTAATTTTAAAATTTGATTTAATGTATCATTATTAATTTCTAAAATATCCTAATGGGAGAAATATTAACTTATGTGCTTCTTTATTAACAAAATATAACAAAATCTCCCTGAATGACTAAAAATTACCAATGTTTAGGAATGATATGGTTAAAAGATACTTTGGTTTATTGACAACTTCAGTGTGATATGAATACAGCATAGTTTCTTCCAATTCTACTGTGTTTGTTCCCTGCATTCATAAATGGAGGAAATGCTGCAGTTAGGTTGGAGACAGTGAAAATAAAGATGAAATTTCTGTTCTATATGGGTAGTGATACTACCTCGGAAACCCAAGGAGGGGTCACTATGAGTCAGGTCTGACTCGACGGCACATAGCAACAACAACAACAACATATCCATTCTCAGATCCTCTAACTCCTGTCTATAATCATAGGCTAAGAACCTCCATAAATGCCTGGGACAGTTTGAAACTCACCATTCTATTATTCAACAATGACCCTCCTTACAGGCTAGGGAGGAAAAGCCAAGTCTTGTACTCAAAGGTAGCTGGCACTGCTCAGGGGGATTAATGATGAGTCAAATCTTTATATTTTGCAAAGTTCTTAAAACCAAGTTGTAGGAAATTAGAATAGTTTTTCTTATATTCATCACTTTAGAGGGGAAGTGGATGAGGAGAGCAGCCACAATAATATAACTGATTATAATAATTTATGTTTCAAACCAAAACAAACCATATTGACTCAGGTTGAGTTGATTCCAACTCCTAGCGAACCCCCATTGGGTTTTCAAAGCTGTAAATCTTTGACTGAAGCAGACTGACTCACTATTCTTTGGAGTAGCTGCTGGGTTGGAACCACTGACTTTTCCTTAGTAGCCAAAAGCTTTAACCATTACACCACCAGAGCTCCTTTAATTTATGTTTAGTTAGTACTTATTTGCAGATATTTTCGTACATGTTTTGCATGGTTAATTGCTTTAAGTCTTAATACTCCATAATATAGGCTTTGTCACATACCATTTAAACATAATACTTAGTATGGTTTGGCCAAGGTTGCTGAGCTGTATGGAGCAGGCTGTGGACATAGCTTAGCTCTAGACACTATGTCAACCTGTTGGAGAATTAGAAAGCAGTGAAAGATACAATGCTAGTTGCAACCTGTCCACAATTAAGGGTACAATCAACCCATAAACCTTTCAACTCACAGCCAGAGGTTATCTTTACTTTAAAATACGTATAAGCCTTAGTTAACTACACATTTGTAATCTGATAAACCTAATCTTAGAAATTTAAATTATGAAGATACGATTTGCTTAAAACTATTTAAAATGGCTGTTATGGAACTACCACGTGTATTGATTATATACTTTGAAAATATGGAGGACAAGTTTTGTGGAAAGTGTATGAATTGTTGCACAAGAGTAAATATTGAGGATTAGTATTGAATAATAAGTGTACCGAATAAAACCAGTTAATGGCTACAGGTATTGCAAGCCCACACACACCCAGCACCCACATGTTGCAGTTATTTGCCATCCAGTTGACTTCACTAAAACTCATGGCGATACCAAGTATGCAGCGTAGAACTAACTACTCCATAGGATTTTCAAGGCTGTGACATTTCCCAGTCAGATCGCCAGGTCTTTCAGTGTCGCTTCTGAGTAGGTTCAAACCGCTTAGCTTTCCACTAAAAATATTTAGTAAACTCCACCCCCATGGGCCACTGCTGCCTAAGGCGTCGGGATTGGTCTCCGGTTTCTCAGGGAGGGACTAAGGCACCGAGGGGCGGGACCTGAATTAAAGTTCCCGCCCCTGTTCTGCTTGTTTTCAAACAGGTCCGTCTTGCAAGTATAAAAATGCTGCGTTGCCCTCAGCAAAGCACTGCTTTGCAGGACTTACAGCAGTTCCTCAGCTATGTCTGGACGTGGTAAAGGTGGAAAGGGTCTTGGAAAAGGTGGTGCCAAGCGCCATCGGAAAGTGTTACGGGATAACATCCAAGGCATTACGAAGCCTGCTATTCGGCGTTTGGCTCGGCGTGGTGGTGTGAAGCGAATTTCAGGCCTTATTTATGAGGAAACCCGAGGCGTTCTTAAGGTCTTTTTGGAGAACGTGATTCGCGATGCCGTTACCTACACAGAGCACGCTAAGCGCAAAACAGTCACTGCTATGGATGTTGTTTATGCACTTAAGCGTCAGGGGCGTACTCTCTATGGCTTTGGCGGCTAAGTATAACGTTTGACTTGTTTCCTCCTAAAACAAAAGGCCCTTTTCAGGGCCATCCATCACTTCACTTAAAAGAGCCAACCATGATTCCAGAACTTGCTTTAGGGATTCGCTTTAAATATTCAAAACATTTTGCATTTTATATTTATTTAATTTACGGATCAAAGTTACCCACAACATAAGATCGGTTCTGTATTTTGGTCAGAGTGTCAATATACCGAGGTTGGTAATATTTAACTGTCCCGAAACGAACTTTGGACCAGGTGAGGAAACATTACGGTGGAGTTGAACTTGTTTATTAAACGGAGAACTGCCGAATGGTGTCCGGTGTCTGCCTTGTGTTAAGTACTGCCTAGTCTGCTCCGACTTAGCGACCCTATGTACAACAAAATTTTAACCACCCGGTCTCCCCCCAGCCCCACAAATCCTTCCCAGAACCTGTCCTTGGAGCCAATATCAACCCATCTTGTTGAGGGCCTTCCCCTTTCTTTGTCGATCCTCCATTTTACCAAGCATGATATCCTTCTCCAGGGAATGGTCCCTTCTGAGAACATGTCCAAAGTAGGCGAGAGGCAGTCTGGCCATTATCGCTTTCAAGGACCACTCTGGCTGCACTTCTTCCAGGACAGCTGCCCTTCTTCCTGGACAGATTTGTTCTCGCAGTCCATGGAACTTTAAATATTCTTTGTCAGCACCTCAATTGAAAAACATCAGCTCTCTTCGGTAGGTACTATTATTTTAGGAGCTGCACAGAAATACCAGTTTTCCCAGAGCTTACATAATGGGAGACTGACATTTTAGAAAAACGTGGAATGTCAAGTACATTTGGGATTGTCTTTGTTGAGAGTTAAAAAAATGGAATGGAGGGGCAAGGTCACTTGTATCTTTACTTCTTTCTGTTGCTATGTCTTTCCAGACCTGCTGGCTTCTCTTGTTGAATCAAAAATAAGGCAAAAAACTTGATTGAAGTACCTGTGACCAATATAAGAAATTCTTGTGGTGTAGTGGATAAGGCATTTAGCTACTAACCAGATTAGCGGTTCAAATCCACTAGCTGCTCCGCGGAAGGAAGATGGAGCAATCTACTTGTGTAAAAACAATGGGGGTCACTATGAGTCAGAATCGACTTGATGGAGTAAATTTTTTTTTTTTTGGTGCCACGGTGCCTAAGGCATTTGGCTGCTAACCATAAGGTGAGCGGTTCTAACCCACCAGCTGCGCCGCAGAAGGATAAGGGGGCAATATATTCCCGTAAGTATTTACGACCTTGTAAACCCAGTGAGGGTCACTTTGAGTCAGAATTCACTTTGCTAGCAGTGTCTTTGGGTTTTTCTTTTTTTTATTTGGTTATCTTACCTTATAATGCATGATATGTCAAGCCACATGATAAATAATCCTGGGCTTGGTTTTGCAAACCCAGATCTTGATTCAATTCCTTATCCTTTTTTAGTCCACACGTTTAAGAAAATTAGGTAAGGAAGCATTTCTAAAGTGAGTTATGTACTGTTCCTTGCTCTTGCCCGTGGTAAACTTGCACTCTCCCAGGATTCTCAGCATGCTGCACCTTCGTAAGTGTCTTCACAGTAGGTTTTACTCTAAAGTTTCTTTAGGGATTATTGCAATGGAGGCTGGCATTTTCCCAATAAAATTTGTTCATTTTCTAACAATAGAGGCAAGACTAGAGGTGGCTACCTAGCCAAAGGCAACATATTCTGGCCCTGCTAGCAGCGGGTATGAGCATGTTGCTAAATTCTCTCCAGCATATACGAGAAGTGAGGAAAGTTACTTCCAGACCTGGGCCTTAAAACCTTACATGCTGCCCTCCTCTTCCCTTTTCCCACCCATTAGTTATAATGATGGTGATCTAGTTCCAAGCAGGGAACATCAAGCCCTATTAGTTGTCAGGCGGGAACATGGCAAGTCAGGCGGATAAAGGATTGAGCAAGAAGAAATTACAAACTGACCAATCAGGAAAGAACCTAACCACACCCCATGTCGAACCCGGATGCAGATAACCCTTTGTTCCTGGAACCGGCACAGTCCCTCCCCCCTTCCTTAACGGCTATAGAAAGTCCCCAACAATTTCCCCATATTATGCTAATGCAGTGCTTCCACCTGATTGGTTCCCGCCGTTTTCCTTCTGCTTCCACTCAGGTCCTCTAGGGAGGGAGAAAACGCAGCTATATAAACCTCTTCCTCCCACCCAAGGGGTTGTATTTCTTTGGCTCCTCACGTTGACTCGTCATTCTCTTCTGGAACGTAAAATAAAAACTCTTTCATAATTCCATTTTTGTGTGTCCTCGTCTCCTTGCCGCCACCTTACGTTAGTTGTCTTCCAGTTGATTCCAACTCATTTTGAACCGATGTGTACAGAGTAAATCTCCTTTGTAAGGTTTCCAAAGCTGTGTGCTCTTTAAAAAACGTTGGCAGTCTGTCTTCCAAAGTACCTCTGGGTTAATTCAAACCACTGACTTTCGGTGGGTAGTAATTAAATGCTTAACAATTGATGTTACCAGTTAACCCATCAAGCCCTAAACCAAACGACGATCCGACTCAGCGACCCCTCCTTGGGTTTCCGTGGCAGAATCACTATGAAGGTAGATTGCCTAACCTTCCTTCCGACGAGTGCCTGGTGGGTTTGAGGTTAGCAGTCAAATACAAATGCCTTAGGCACTACACTACCAGAGCTCCCCATCAAGCCCTAGGAGATGGCAACTCAATGACTTGGGAAGTTTCCTTGATTGGTCACCAGGAGTTAAACTACTCTACAGAGCTGGACCAATCCCAGTGAATCTGTTGTATGATACAAAACTAACTCTTAA